GGAGAGGAAGGGGGCGGGGCCAGAGGGGCCGGGAGGGAGCAGGGGGCCAGGAGCAGCGGAGAGGAAGGGGGCGGGGCCAGAGGGGCCGGGAGGGAGCAGGGGGTGGGGCCACCGGCCAGAGGGACTGACAAGGCCGCACTCAGCCACTGCCAGCCCTTTTGGCTCTGGCCTCTTGGCAGAGCAGCAAAGCAGCAGAGGCACAGGCTGGGAGAGAGGCTGAGTGGCCAGGGGCCTGGCGAAGGCAAGGCAGGAGCTGGGCAGGGGAGCAGGGGGCCAGGAGCAGCGGAGAGGAAGGGGGCGGGGCCAGAGGGGCCGGGAGGGAGCAGGGGGCGGGGCCACCAGCCGGAGGGACTGATAAGGTGTCGTCCCTTGGCTGCGGCCCGAGCTGTCCGGAGACGCCCTTCCCTGGGAGGCAGAGGGTTGTTTGTTTGTTTGTTTTTGTTTGCGCTTTGCTGTGCTGTGCTTTGCTTTGTTTTTCTTCCAATTTAAGTTTATTTTATCCTTCTGTGTGTGCGAGTGGGTTTTTGTCTGGGAGAACTGGGCGAGTGAGAGGAACTGCAGGACAGACAAGGCAGGGGACCAAGGTAGGGTCTCGGGAGGGATCCCGATGGCAGACCAGGAGACGGCCTTGGCGGGAGCCATGGGTGTTGCTGCTGCTGCGAGAGCTGCGACATGTTCGCTCTTCTCCCCCAGGAGAGGCAGGGATACACTTGCCCTCGGTGCAAGATGGTGACCATGCTAGAGGAGGAGGTGAGGTGCCTGAGGGCCGAGGGAGCTCTCCAGCCCCCCCCCCCCCCGGAGCAGCCCCTCTCTGGACAGAGGGTTGAGGGAGAGACCATGGGAGGAGCAGCCGGGGAGACATGGAGGCATGTCACCCACAGGAGGGGGCGGCCAGCACGGCCCCCTCCTCCTCCTGGCACCAATCTGGAGCTGGGAAACAGGTTCTCTCCACTTGGGGAGGCTGGGGCTGATGAGGCCTCGGGGGACCAGCAGGACCCCCAGCCTGGGACGTCAGGTGGCAAGGGGGCCGCTGCGGGAGAGGTGAGGGCCAGGGCACGGCCGCCCACCAGCACTAGGAAGGTACGGCGGCGGGTGATTGTTGTTGGGGACTCCCTGCTGAGGGGCACTGAGCCGGCGGTGTGCCGCCCCAACCTGGAGACAAGGGAGGTTTGCTGCCTGCCGGGCACACGCATCCGGCACGTGAAGGACAGAGTGGAGCGTCTTGTTCGCTCCGGGGGTCACCGGCTGCTCCTGGTGATCCATGTGGGCACAAACGATGTGGCCAGGCAGGGTGTGGTTGGGACCACCAGGGACTTTGACGCCTTGGGGAAGAAACTCAGGGAGCTGAAGGCCCAAGTGGCCTTCTCGTCAATCTTACCTGTCCGGGGATTTGGGCCAGGAAGGGACAGGAGGGCCTCCGAGGTGAACGACTGGCTTAGGGTGTGGTGCCAGAAGGAACGCTTCGGGTTCCTCGACCACGGCACTCATTTTCTTGCCAATGGACTTCTGGCAAGGGACGGGTTATACCTCACAAGGATGGGGAAAAGGTCCTTTGGAGATGCTCTAGTGAGCTTCGTCCGGAAGACTTTAAACTGAGCCGGGGGGGTGGGGGGGTGGGTTCAGGCCCCCCAGTAACGTGTCTGCACTGGACAAGTGTGGGGGGAGGATCAGGGCTCTGGGAGCAGGGTTTTAGAGGTACTGCAGGGACTGACAGGACTCCTCCAGAGAGGGGCCAGGTATCAGGGAGGATGGATGGAAGGAGGAGGCTGCGAACTCCAAGGAAGGGAAGCGGTGGGAAGGAGTTGAGGTGCATGTACACCAATGCTAGGAGCATGGGTAATAAGCAGGAAGAGCTGGAAGCTCTCCTGGGCATAGGAGGGTATGATCTGGTGGGAATCACAGGAACTTGGTGGGATGAAAGGCAAGTCTGGAATGTGAACATAGAAGGGTATCACCTTTTTAGAAAGGACAGGAAGGGAAAGAGAGGTGGGAGCGTGGCTTTATACATCAGGGAAGGGATAGGATGCAGTGAGACAGAATGCAGCACAGATGGGGATTCAGTAGAGGCAGTCTGGGTGAAACTTAGCGGTTTTGACAGGGAAAGAGACCTGACAGTGGGGGTATGTTGTCGCCCTCCAGGTCAACTTGAGACCCTGGATGATGTCCTGACAGGCCAGATTCTAAGGATATCTTGGGGGAGAGACACAGTAATTATGGGAGATTTCAATCTCCCAGATATTACTTGGGAGACTCACTCGGCAGTGACAGCCAGGTCATGTCGCTTCCTAGAAGCTATAGAGGGAGGGTTTTTCACACAGAGGGTCTGAGAGGTGATGAGGGGGGGAAACATCCTTGACTTGGTCTTGACCAATAGGGAGGAGCTGATAGATGAAGTACAGATTAGGGGAGCTCTGGATGCGAGTGATCACTCCATCCTTTGCTTTGAGATCAGGGGACTGGGGACGTGCAGCAGGTCGAGCACTAGAAGCTGGGACTTCAAGAGGGCCAACTTAGGCCAACTGAAGGCCAGACTGGGGAAAGTCTCCTGGGAAAGGTTACTGGAAGGCAAGCGAGTTGAGGGGGGGTGGATAGCACTCAAAAGGGAGGTTTTGGAGGCGCAAGCCTTGACAATACCTCTAGTCAGTAAGGTGGGGAGGTGGAGGAGAGTGCCGCCATGGATACGAAAGGAGGTGGTTAGAGGGATTAGACGAAAGAGGAACCTCCGTAGGAAATGGGAACTGGGGCAAATAGACAAAAGGGTATACCAGGAGGAGGAGGCCCGTTGCAGAAGGATTCTTCGCAAGGCTAAGGCTGATTACGAGCTGAGACTTGCCAAGAATATCAAGAGCAACAAAAAGGGCTTCTTTCAGCATGTAAATAGGAAGAGGAAGGGGAGACAAGTGGTGGGGCCACTAAATAAGGAGGAAGGAGATCCAGTGACTGATATGAGGGAACAGGCACAGATGCTAAATGACTATTTTGCCTCTGTGTTCTTCCCAAAGCAGGATGGGGGAGATCCGCATAGGAGATTAGATGAGGCTGGGGACTCAGGGGCACAGATTAGAGTCACCCCCCTTGAAGTAGAGGGGTTCCTCAGGGCATTGGACATTGCAAAGGTGCCAGGCCCTGACGGGTTACACCTGAGAGTACTTAGAGAGTTGGCAGGGGTTCTCTCACGCCCGCTGGCCTCCATTTTTGAGGTCTTGTGGAGAACGAGTGACGTTCCAGAGGACGGGAGCGGAGCCGGCTGGTGCCGGAGGTCAGACTAGATGGCCCAGGAGACCCCTTCTGACTCGCTCTGTTTCTGTGTTTCTAAACTGGGGTCTTTGCTCCAGAGGTGTGTTTTTTCCTGACTCGGCTGTTATCCTAATGCAATGCATGCAAAATGGGACTGCAAAAATTGATCTGAGTATCCACACATTCAGTGTAGTAGCTATTTTAACATGGATTTGCGGATTCCAAATGATCACATTTCAATCATGGAGGAGAGAAGTGCCTGTTGGAACCTACCAAGAATCCAGTAGGAAGATCATTCAGTGTGCTCATATGCATTCTAGCAAGGTGTGTTACAAAGAGTCCTGTATACTTAGACTCATGGCGTTGCTGGAGGCAAAAAGGGTGACCATCGGTTCAGGCTGAAAAGACCAGATTTTTTGGGGGGGCGGGTGTCTATAATTGGATTTTCCATTACCAGCAGTAAGCCCTTCTCTCCCTCCTTGGGCCCCAATCTTCTGGGAGAATTGCAGTGTTGGGGGCGGGGGGAATGAATATTTCTCCCCGTGCTCTTTCTGTCATCTGCATCTCTTCTTTCCCAAAGCTACTAGTAGGTCCATGGAAACAAAAACAATAGAGGAAACTGATTTTGCTTGTTTGTTTTGCTCTTCTGCTGCAATTTCATTGAAGCTTTGGGGAAGGGAACTAGATAATCCCAAGTTATTCCATGAGTGCCTTATTTAAAGATACTATACTGCAACTGAAGAACCTGTTTCACTGTCATCTTATAATTGCAAATAATGAATAAAGAAGGATATTTTTTGCACCAGGTTTTGGGTTTTTAAAAATAAAACTCTGCAGGGTTGCTGCCCCAGTCAATAATTACTGCTGGTATTATGGATCAGAGAGATGGGATTTTTTGTATTTTATTTTTGTATTAAAATTTTTGTATTTTAATTTATTTTTTGTATTTTAACTTTATGTTGTGAGCCGCCCCGAGGCTTCGGCGAATGGGGCGGCATAGAAATGTTTTAATAAATAAATAAAATAAATAAATTATTTCCCTCATGACAAATTTCTCATAACTATAAGCATCTGCCATGCCTCCCCTTGATAGGCTGCCATCCCCTTCTTTCCTCCTCTTTCCTCTTCTTTCCTCTTCTCTTCCCTGGAGTCTGTCAAGTGAAGGAAATTTCTTGCAGAAGTTTGGAAATAAGGCTGAGGACCACATATAGTTTGGCTTTTGCTTTAGCCCCTTCTAAGCAAAGTGAACCAATCTCTCCCAGGCTGTTTGTGACAAGCTGGCTTCCAGGCCAGGCTTCTATCGCCATTCCCCATTCACGGAATGTTGTTGGGAGGTCCAGATGGCCTCATCTCTGCATAACCTTCCCATGTTTTCCCACTGCTTTCTTCTTGTTCTTCTTTCTTTCTGCAGAAAAACCACCAAGTTAAAAAGATGGCCCTGCTGCACCATATTTTCTAATTAGCACTGCTGGGAGCCCACGGTCTGGAAGCACTCCAAGTCTTTGGCACGTCTGCAAACCAAGCGACACAAACTTTGCGTAGCCTGAGCTGTCGCTTCGAAATCAGAGGTTGCGATGTGGTGAGAATTTCTTCTACGAATCAAGATAGAAAACAGAAATCTGACACATTTATCAGAGGCCTTGAATTCTGCACACTAAGGGATAACAGCGAGGGCAGAGCACGCAAACCCTGCGGAATTTGCAGATTGTTTAAAGCATTGTTTAAAAGCTAGTAGGAAGAGTCCAAATGTGGCCAATATTCATTTGCAAATAAGTTTGGAACTGAGGTGAAAACGAAAAGTGCTTTTCTTTGATCAGAAGCCAAAATCAGTTGGTGTTTCATTCTTCACATGACCTCCAGTGGCAACTAAATCCGCTTTAGGCAACCCAGCAGGAAATGTGGACACAAGTTGCTTCTTCTTTTCTGCCTGTTTTCCCTTTTTTGCTAAAAGGCTATAAATACGTGACGTCTGTGCTTCCAGGCATGTCGGTCTGCCTTTTCAGGCTCTTGCTCCACTTCTGTACCTTTTGACATCAGCCTGATTGCAAGGGTATAGTTGAGGGAGGGGAGGTGGGCTGTTTCCCCCGGATATTCCAGGGCATTGCACTTTTAGCTTTCACAGACTGGGTTTGCCTGATGCAACAAGTGACCACCGATTGATACCAGGGATTGTCATGTCGTCCAAATCCAGTTGAGGGGAGTTACCATTGCGACCTGTCATGGTGGAGAACCTGTCTTGGTGCCCATGCCTCAGACAACACAACTCATCGTGGGGAATCCCCAGAACGAGAGTCACTTGGCATCTGTTGATTTCTCAGATCAAGCTGCTGAGAAAAGTGATGGAGCAGCAGAGGCTTGGGGCCGGGGGAGTCAGTTGGCAATCCAACTGGGAACAACAAAGCCCATGCATCAGATTTTGTTCTCTTCCAAATGGCTCTGAGTGGGTGCTTTGTAGCTGCAGTCATTGTGGGAAGGTCCTGGTTCATTACAGGTCTAGAAAAAGTCTTGTGATGAAAGCCTTACATTGCGCAATGGCTGCCTTTACAAGAAATCGGCTTCCTTACTTTTCCTTTTATTTTTTGTTTCTGCTTTGTCTGTTGAAGCTTGATAGTTGGGTTCACGTTATTGATGCAGCAGTATTAGACTGAGATAGCTATTACCAATGGGTTTGGTCTTTTTTCTTTTCAGGAATAGATTTTTCTAATAATTAAAACCATTCTAGCCATTACACTAGCCAATAAAAACACATTACAGATATGTCTCTCTTACTCATATCCACTAAATAATACCAAATTCTTATTCCCCTCTCATTTCTAAAACATGCATTATCACTAAATATGCCAATTAGAATGCCAAACAAATGAACGGAAGCCAGAGCCTTTGCGGGATACCTCTTCTTTTCATACTTACTAAATGCTCTTATCTCTTTGCCTGTGCAAACCCTTACATGGACATCCACATGGTGCGCATGTCGTGAGCGGAGCCAGCTGGTGCTGGAGGTCAGACTAGATGGCCCGGGAGGACCCTTCTGACTCGCTGTTTCTACGGTCAGACTTTCTGCATCATACACATTTTGCTTTCTGTATTAAATGAGCTCCCCTTTCTCTCTGAAACACTAAAGCTAGCAACACAAATACACTTTGGGTGCAATCCTGAGCATATTCAGACACAAAAACGGCCTAGCTACTCCCAGCATGCCCCAGCCGCCCAAGCTGACTGGGGCATGCTGGGAGTAGTAGGCCTTTTCTCTGTGTCTAAATATGCATAGGATTCCACCTCTATTAGCCTACCATTAGACCATGGGCTGTTCTGGATTCCCTTACATTGCTTTGCATGCAACTCCTTGTACTTTCCTCTTTTCTCTGGTTCCCCCCCTCCCACCACCACCAGTCTGGGATTGAATTATTGACTGCTGACTTAAGAACATTAGAAGAGCCCTGATGCATCAGGCCAAGGGTCCACCTAACCCAGCATCCTGTGCACAAGCAAGGTAGGAGTGCAGCCAGCTGCACCTCCTGCCCTGTCCCTCCGCACCTGGGTACAGAGTCGCACCACACCACACCTGATCCTGGGGGTATCATATACCCATCCAGACTAGCCTCCTGTATGAACTTAAGCAATACCCTTTCAAACTATCCACACTGGTAGACACAAATACATCTTGCGGAAGTAAATTTCATAATTTACCCATGTGCGGTGTGAGGAAGGACTTCCTTTTATCGGTCCTGGATCTCCCACCAATCTGCTTCATATGAGAGCTTGGCCAACGTATTGATCTGGCTTGCATGCCAAAAACAATGCAAGTATGCTGACTCTGGGGTCAGTGCACGGTGAATTCATGGAACCCAATTAGCCTTCTCCTAGGGATCCTCTGTCCAAGTTCTTATCAGTTGGGTCAGACAGGGAACTGTAGCCTGTCTCACAGCACTGGGAAGGCACCAAAGCCTCTCTGGTCTTCACATCTGTCAGAGGACCATGCTCCTCATTTTTATCCGATTGTGCTGTCCAGCCATTGACAGATTTACTCCAAATGAAGTCGCCCTTCTCCATTGCCTTCAGAACGTGCCCCCTTCCCACTCAAGCCAAGTTTCTTTCCCCAAATGATTACAATCCGGAGAACAAACACACACAAAATGAGTTTTTAAGTGAGTGGTGAGAGAAACAAATCAATAACTATCAACTCAGAGCTGACCCCCTTTAGTCATGGCTGGATTTGCCAAGCTACCTCGTGGCAGGTCGGCTGGTCCTTAGGCCTAGATTTATCTTATTCTTCTGAATTCCCTTCCACTGGTTTCTCCCTTAAAATGTGCTCCCCAGAGAGGTCCGCCTGGCGCCTTCGTTATTTGTTTTTCGGTGCCAGGCTAAGACCTTTTTATTCAAACAATATTTTAACAATGTTTAATATTTATAGGTTTTAATTGTGCAACCAGGGTGTTTCTGGGTTTTAACTGTATTTGTTATTATATTTATTTATTTGTGTGAGCCATCTTGAGGCTATATAGCAAGGGGACGGCATACAAAAACTAAATAAATAAAATGGTAACTGAGAGTTCTTCGGGGTCCAGTTTTAACCCATAACAGCCCACGGCTTTGGGGGCACATCAAATCCCGACCCAGACAGCTCCAGGGCGAGACTGTTTCTGTCTTCCTACAATTGCGCTTTCATTGCAAGCACTCCGCTTCCTTAGGGGTAAACTCTCAATCTTTCCAGGCTAAGCCAAGTTCCAGCTTCTGATAGCTTCCCGCCCTTCACGAAAATAGTAGCGTCTGTGTCATAACAGCCTTTTATGAATCATAATTTCTCTCTGCCTCAACGGCTGGGGCATCTTTATTCAGCTCACTGATCTTATGCAACACACGGCTTGTCTTTCGTAGTCTAGTGGGAGAAACATCTGGAGGATTCTAAGAGACCTTCTATCGCTTCCATTTGATTGCACTTTGCTTGCCTTACTGCTGGTTTGTGGACGCTTTATAGACTGGCTTTTATTGCTCTCTTTGTGGTCACTGCAGGTTTTCAGCTTCGATGTTTAGGATTTATTACAGTTCAGCCTATTATTAAATTGCATTGCTGTTTTTAGTGTACTATCTGATGCGTGTTTAGGCAGAATAAATAAGTGGACTCCAACCTCCAAGGAGTCCCCAGCCAGCCCCCCCTTTCCCTCCACTGGGGCTCCATTCAGTGCATGGAGTGCCTTTCTGAAATGTATTTGCTCTGGGTGCCCTTGAGTAGACGTGTGATTTATAAATACTATGTCTTTACTTGCATCTAGGGCATTCTCTTATTGTCCTCGCCCTTGAGGCACATAAGCCCCTGAAGGCCCCAGTCGTTGGGCCCCCAGCTCTGAGAACTCGGGACGAGGCGAGGAGGCCATGAGGACTGCACCCTTATATACTTCTCTGCATATAGGGAGGAGGACAAGGAGAAGATTCTGCCAATTTGGGGCCACCGAGAATCTGTGGAGATACTTGACTTCCAGATTTGCAGAGAAAGGAAATTTTGGGGAACAAATTTCTTTCAGCTCTACGTTGAGCATGGGGGAAATGTGCCTTGCACAGCTCTGGGGGACCAACCCACCACTCCTCGCCATCCACTGGCACAATGGGAGCTTTGTCCCCAAGACCAATTGCATGAAAAAGAAACCGAATACAAGATGGGGAACATGTAGCTCAGCAGAACTGGAAAAGAAAAAGATCTCAGAGAAATTGTGGACAATAGGCTAATCATGAGCCGACCATGCGATGCAGCCGCCAAAAGGGCAAATACTATTTTGGGATGCATTAACAGAAGTATTACTTCCAGATCATGAGAAGTAGTGGTTCCTCTATAGTCCTCACTAGTCAGACCTCATCTAGAATATTGTGTCCAGTTCTGGGCACCAAGATTTAAGAAGATGCAGAAAAATTGGAAAGGGTCCAGAGGAGGGCAACAAAAACGATCCAGGGTATGGAAACACTATGAAGAGAGATGGAGAGAACTGGGCATGTTCAGCCTTGAGAAGAGAAGACTGAGAGGAGACCTGATATTCCTCTATAAGTACCTCCAAGGCTGTCACAAAGGGGAAGGTCAGGATCTCTTCTTGCTGATGCCAGAATGTAGGACACGGAATAATCAATTCAAGTTGCAACAGCCCAGGTTCAGGCTGGGCATCAGGAAAAGCTTCCTCACTGTCAGAGCAATACAGCAGTGGAACCAACTGCCCAAAGAGGTGGTTGGCTCTCCCACACTGGAGACGTTCAAAGAGAAACTGGATAGCCATCTGAGTGGGATGGTGTAACGTGGTGTCCTGCAACGGCAGCGGGTTGGACTCGATGGCCTGCATGGCCCCTTCCAACTCCACTGTTCTATGAGTCAGTGATGTGGGATGTGGTTCCAGGCTCACCAGGATGGGAAGAGAGAAAGGATACATTGCCCATTTGATATACTGGGCCCTCCATGGAAGGGGTCCTCCTGCAGGACCTGGGACCACCTAGAAGACGCTGTCATGAGCGACACGGTTGGCACAACCTGGAGCGTGATCCTGCATCACCCGTCCTGGTGAAAACGAGGGTTCCGGTGCATCAGTGCAGTTCCAAGTGGACCAGTTCTACTGGGAATCAGAGGAACACTTTCAGGTTATTGTGCCACTTCTGCACAAGGTTAAGCACATAAGATTCAGGCTGGACATCAGCCTTTTTCCCTACATGCCCTCCCACCCCTTGAGATCGGCAGCAGAGGCCCTCCTCCGGGAACCTTCTTTGAAAGAGGTTAGGAGACGGAGTACCTGGAGGAGGGCCTTCTCTGCGGTGGTGCTCTGGCTATGGAATGCGCTCCCTAGAGAGGTCCGCCTGGCGCCGTCATTATATGCTTTTCAGCGCAAGGTTTTTATTTAACCTTTTTATTTAACCAATATTTTAACATAAAGTAATTTTAATTGTATTAGATTAATTTATTTTAAATAGATTAGTTTTATGCTCAGTTGTGGAATAGTTAATTTATTTTA